GTTGTAGGGTAGTATATATATATATATATATATATATATATAGAGAGAGAGAGAGAGAGAGAAAGAGAGAGGAAGAAGTCTTAAAAACGCCTATGGGCGAATTTGAATAGTGTTTCACTCCGCAACAGTCGTTGCGGTTTTATCGAAAAATCGCAATAGACATGCTATGTCCGTTGCAGTTTTTTAATTTTCAGACGGCGTTGAGCCTATGGGTGAAACACTGTTCATTTTTGCCCATAGGCGTTGCACAGTCTCTTCTTATATATATAGGAATTGCAGAATCGTGGCTGGCTAGAAGATTCCTATTTTCAAAAATTTTCGACATCTATACAAGGGAATCACAGGAAACGGGATTCCTACTTAATAGGAATCAAGTAGCGACCCAAATGGAATCGAGATCCCTACATACATGGAATCGAGATTTCGACCGCTTTGGAATTGAGTTTTTAACTTATTTGGAATCGACTCATATGGAAACGCGATACCTTCATATATGGAATCGCAATTCCGACATCTTTGTAATTGAGTTTTTTGATGTATTTGGAATCACGATTTATACCAGTTTGGAATCGAGATTCATATCAGTTTGGAATTGAGTTTCGACCCACAAGGCAATCGAGATTTATAACTCTATGGGGTCGAGTTTCAACCCTTTTGGACTCAAAATTCCTACATTAACGACATCTCATGCCTTAACAACTTAGAACATTATCAAGCAAATGAGATCAAAGGTCTCTAAGATATGAAGTCAATGTACTGAGTTATTGACTATACAGCCTCAAACACAGTAATCAGAAAGTAAGGTCAATTAATAGACATTCGTAGTCCACCAAGGAAATTGTCCACAAAAGATACAAATATTATCTCATGTATTTTTGAAATGTGATGTTGATTTCATTATTATAGTTCAAAATAGGACTTTGTTTGTGCTATGGTGTTGTCTATGTTGTAGTCCTATTTGAATGTAAAACTCTTTATAATTTATATTTTTTAAAAAGTCACCCAAGCCTAGAATTATTAAAAACGTGATTCGCGCCAGTCCTAGCACCATTAATATTCTTATTAATGCTCAAACGCCCTAGTTATACTTGCCTTTGTTTCCTACAAAAGACGTTAGAAACATACATGTTGAGTATTTCTTAACTCTAAATATTTGCATTTGAAAGTCGATTCGTGTTACAAATACGCCAGCACTGCGTTCATTGGATTATTTTTTGGAGTACCTAAACAATGTTCTCCAATCGGGTTTCCAAATAACTGAAATCAAAATCTATAAATATTTGATGTCAGATTCTACGTTCAACAATTCACAGTTTTGTGCACCATAGGAAACAATGTTATTCAAAAAATTAGGATCAAGATTCTATGAAGGTTGAAGTAAGATTTCATGTTGATTGGATCACGGTTTCCTATACCTACAAACCAACGTACTTGATGTCGTGGATTCTAGATTAAAAAAAAAAAAAAATCAAATCGAGATTCATTATATGTGGAATCTGGAATCAACAAATGTGGATCAAGATTCAATAAACGTTGGAATTGAGATTCGAAAAACTTGGAATCAAGATTTCATAAAAGTTTGGATCAAGATTCGGGAAATGTCAGAATCGAGATTCCTATAATAAGGAATCAAGATTCATGACTTCATGGAAATGGGTTTTGTGAAGACTCCTTGCCAGAATCGCTGAATAGGGATTCTGAAGCCGAATCGTGACCTAGCAAACAAATTCCAGTAATTATGTGAAAGAGAGTGAGAGAGAGAGAGAGAGAGAGAGAGAGAGGAGGGGGGAGCACTAGTTACTCGTCCTTTGCTGAAGTTATTCAAAACAAGTAGTGACTTTTGATCTTTTGAAGACCAAGAACGGTTCAGTAAAATGTTTGAAGTGGTAAATTGGCTGTCTTCCAGTTTGGTCGATTCATAATAATTGATGAAGAAAGAAGACGATGTTTATAAAACATGATAAAAGTTCTAATTTATAATAAGATTTACATGGTAAATAATGCAATACCAAGTAACAAAACAAATGCAATCAGAGTCCAAAAAAAGCAGAAAGTAACCTAGAAAATAATACATAAGCTTTATATATAACCAGGGATATTATAGAAAACTCACATTTCCTCTTAAAGTGACAGCTATGCCCACGGGATAGCCTTCCCTGAGCTTGAAGCTTGCGATGGACACTCTCGCACGTGTCTTGACTGGCCTTTGGCCAGCAATGAGGGACATGTCCTTAATTGCAGCTTCTAAACCCTTGGAGTTTTGTGCTGCATCCCCAATGCCACAATTAACTACTATCTTCTCAATTTTGGGAACCTACAAAAAATTCCTGTTCAAAATGGTAACCTCAAAAGAACATATTGAAAAAGAACAAAAAATCCTTAACCTAAAGACAGACAAGGATGCATGTTCCAAGCATCTAAGCACAGCCACACATGCATGAACAGCTTGCTTCTATATGTATGAACATATGTATGTGTACATGTACGCACTCATCCATATGTAAGCACAAGAACGTAGGCACATTCACATGCGCACATTTTCACGTGTGTGCACATAAATAATTACTGGTATGAGGCATTTTACACGGAAAACAAAAAGAATCTTCCAACTAAATTGCTGGCCACTACAACAGGAACATAAATCCTACAAGCCCTAATACTTTTCTCATAATTTCCTAAGGTTGTATTTTTTTTTTTTATAATGTTAACCTTTTAATTGAAAAGAGAGATGGCAAAACACCTTAGCAACCCACAGAAGAGGATGCTCAAGGAGATAAAAGAAAAGGAAAGTGCGGAATCAAAAGCCTCTTTTGGGAATAATTCCTTATGTTGTAGTTTTCTTTTCGTATTAAGACTCCCTTTCTCATGGCAATCTTGAATCCCCCTATCAAAAGATTGATCAAGTTACATTGTTTATTCCAGATGCTCACCTACTTTCAAACGTGCTATTACACGTGAGCTGTATGACATGATTTGAAATAGAAGGAATTTCAAATTTTCAAATAACGGTATATTGATGTGTCAAGAAATAGGAAAGGAGCATCGACAAGTAACAGGATGAAATGTTCTTCAATTCAGACAAAATTTTGAAAGAACAAGTCAAATTCATCACCGTAGAACATGCTATTGATATCAAACAAGAGAAAACATCAGATATTACTACCAGCCTCAAAAGGATTGAGAAATTTTCACCATCTGAAATGTTTATATAATTTTTTAGGAATCAGTTTAAAATTGAAAAATGAGATGCAAGCATTTTTGCAATCAGTAAATAGGATAGACTAGAGAGGAGATTTATATACTCAAGATTAGTGTACATGGACTTGGCCAAGTAACTCGGCCTATGCACTATGAGGAAGCGAGTTGTACTGGACCAGTAGCTACTTCTATATAATGTTTATCACTTTATCCTTTTTATTATGATTTGAGAGCTTCTCTTATTATATTTTCCAATTTTCTATTTTTTCCTTTTTTTTTGAAGTATTTTAAAGATAAATCAATTTTTTCAATAGTCCATTTTCTATATACTTTTTCAACTTTTAGTAAACTTTTAACAATTTCTATTACTTATTTTATTTTTTGCTGATTTTAAGTTCTTTTTCACTTTTTTTTTACATTTTATTTTTATATTATTGGACCTCTGTTGTGGGGCCTGGACAGGACTTCACTGAGTCCACTCAGACTAGGCTGAGTTACTTGGATTGGCCCACGATCGAGGCCAAGGGCCGATCCGAGTCACAGAACCTTGATTGAGAGGAATTTTCCATGTCTATGGACGAATAAAAAGGACTACATCAACAATGATAAAATACTGTTCACACATTAAGTGAATCACAGTGTCTTAAAAATAGCAACAACTAAAAAGATCATCCCAAATCATACGAGCAAATCAAATTTTCACATTGTCAATTTATTGAACTAATTTCACAATCTCTGAAGCCAACCAAAATACAGAATTGAGAGAGAAAAATAAAAAATAATAACTTGCAGGTATACACATTAATGGTATTAAGAGAGAAACAGAAAACAGAGAGTACTGTTTCTATTTAGTTCTATCCTAAAATGGAATCATTTGAAGATAAATCACATAAAGTCTAATCCCAGTGACGAGATGAAATGAGAACCACCGTAAGACATATCTATGATTTAGAAATAAAAGGACAAAAGAAAAGTACTACAGAGAATTAAAATCTCGAAACAGTTTCGAAACATATTGGGTGAAAGCTTCTCTCTTTGTGGAGATGGAGTGTTCATGAGTTCCATAAAAATTCCTAAAAAGAAAGGAAGTTCTGAAAAAGAAGTATAACTGACATCAAACCCGACTACAATGAGAAGAAAGGCCATAGAGCTCAAATCAATAACCAAAGGGACAGCTACCTACACAATAGCGTCCATCTGAGCATATATCCATGGACATGAATGTTGGGTGTGTATGGCCATTAAAGGCCTTATGAGTGCTTGTAAAAGAATTATATAGTAGAACATGAACTCAATGGGAGTGTGATCCTGTGTGGATCATACTAAGCAAATGATGTTTGCTAATACTAGACTGTGGTTAACGTGCTAGATCAGTCTGGTTGGGGAAAACCCATGTTACCGATGATGGTTAGATGGGTTATCCCTTGATGAGATCAGAGTATGCCTGGAAGAGTGAGCCAAGGGACTATATGACCCTTGTGTGTGATGGAGGCCCTCAGAGACGATGCAAAAGCCTCACCATTTGTACCACCACACGGCATGCATATTGATAGCCGTTTTTTGGAAAGTGAACTACCTTTCAGGGTGAAGTGTGTGCATATGCAAGAGATACCCCTTGTCCACCATCAAGCAATGGATGACGTTGGTTTGATGACCTTGGTTTCGTCTCCAGGGGGGGACCTGAAATCCATATAATGGGACTACGACCCCTTACCCATTGGCTAGACTTTGGTGACCCATTAATGATCCCCTGCATGGACTGTAGGTCATGGAAAACACTGGGTCGGTTTGAGAAAGCATGTGTGGTTCGTAGTTTGCAGTTGGACATAGAGTGCCCCAGTGGATATTTATTCCTAGACCATATGGATCCTTTTCCCATCAAAGTATTTAATTTTATTTATTTTAATAATACATGATTTTTGGAATTGTTATTTGAATTTTTCTTAATCTCTAGATATTTTATTTATCAAATTTGGATTTATAAAAGCAAAGATATTGATTTTTTAATGATTTAAATATTCAAATAATGATTTTATGTTTTTCAAAAATAAATAATAACCTAATTGCATAGGAGGCTCAATAGGACTTTTGGGCCCACCATAGCAAAATTGGGTGGGGCCCATTATGTGCCACAATGGGTGGCACACCCCACCTAGGACACTTTCTATTTTTATAATCAAGCTCTAAAGCTTGAGAGATAAGTTTGTGTCATTTTAAGAAAGCTTAAGCCTTGAGGAAATTTTGAGTAATATTTTGGTATGTATGAGAAGACTCATGCATAAAATAAGAAAAAATAATATTATCATATATTAACGTTTTATTGGAATTAATTAATGAGAAAATGGTTTAGGGAGTGGAGGATAATGGTTCTAGTACCTTCTAAAGGATGTTGATGGCTCATCTATGGAATAGAGAGCTCATATCTCTCACCCCACTAGTCACCCAAGATCAATGGTGCATATTCAATCTCACATGAGTGGCAAGCCAAGGAAAACCCTAAAAAACCCTAAATTTGTTCAAGCACTATAAAAAAGGGAGTTCCCTATCCAAATCTCTACATCATATCTCTTACACCTAAAATCTCTCTTCTCTCTCCCATATACAATAAGAGGGGCACGCCCGTAGAAGAGGAATTCACTCTCTTATAAAAATTAAGGTGCACACCCCACCTAGAAGGAAACTTCTCTCTCATCTTGGAAACTCTCACTCCTCTCAAAGAAAACCCTAAGGGGGCACACCCCACTCTATATCTCTCTCATGGTTGCTCTCTTGTCTCCTCTCATCTCATATTGGGGCTAAGTCTATAGAGTGTGGTAGAAAGAGAAGCATCTTTCTCAAACTAGGTTATCAAGAGGGTTCACCTATCTATTGAATTTGTGATCATAGGGGTTCATGTTCTATTGGTGTGACTTGTCCAAAACTTGCTTTCTCGATTAAGATTGAAGGTTGACCATTAGATCCCGTGACATCGGAAGGTGGTGACTCGGTGTGGGATGTAAGAAACCAGATTGAGGTAATCTCCGACACCCTCTTTTGTTTCTTACATATTTATTTATTATGTCTTTTATTCCCAAACTTAGAGCATAGATTGTGTCTTTTCTTTGTTATGAAAAGAAAAATTTTTGAATGGTTTCAAGTTCTTGAGATCCTATTGCATTCTTTTCTTTTCTTTTATTTGAAGTTATTATATTGTAAAAGAATTTTCAAAAAAAAAGTTATTATATATTAAAAAGACTACTTATGAGTGATCTAGGCCGTGAAGAAAAGAAAAAGAACTGAAAAAGAAAAAAAAAAATTATTATATACTCTGGCTAGATCACATGAGTCCTTTCAATGAATTCAGCAGCAAATACTAAATATTATCCAATCAACCAGCATTGGGTAATCTTGTAACTACACCTCATACATTTAGCTTTCAAAAGTATGTACAAGCATTTCTTATTAAGATAGGAAGACATGATAATGGTTAAAGAAGAGCATAATGAAGAAATTGTTTCCTTGACAAATGATAAACCTACAGTCATTTGGTTCGCAAAATGGATAATTGACAGGAAGCCAACAACAGAGTTCAATTATCGAGATAAGAAAAGGAAACCCAAATAGAAAACACATGTTATCCCGCGACAAAACTATTCATCCAACCCATGAACAAGCTGTGAATATCTCCATGAACCCCAACCTTTATGTGCGAGATAGAGAGAGAGTGATTTGATTGTACAAAGAGAAAACACATTCTTTCCTTTGAAAGAAAGAAAAAGAACACGAAACAAAGATATGAAACAGGAGGAATTCCAGATTCCAAATCAAGAAGAGTGGAGCTCACCTCATGTATGTTGGTGTAAGAGAATTCTTCTTTGAGGAGAGGGACAACTTTTTCATTGTAAAGATGCTTGAGTCGGTTGACCTTGGTCGCCTCCGCCTTATCAACCAGAACAATGGTTGAAGAAGTAGCCACCACAGTGAGTCTCTTAGGGTTTCTGCTACTCCATTGCAGGCTAGGGTTACGAGTTGTGGAAGAAGTGGGGAAGAGAGGGGTTGGGAGTGATGGAGATAGAATTGCAGAGACCATGGTACATGGAAGTCGGGCTTCCTCTCTCTTTTCACCGTCAAGCGCGAGCTCTTCAGTGGCGGATAAGACTTTTGTTAAATCCCACGTCACACCCCTGCTCTTACTGAACTAAGGTCCTTTTTGGATGTACCGTTATCACATATTACTGTAAGTTTTTGTTGGAAAAAGTTTTATACCAAGTTATCTCGATCGTATATAGGAGAGTGCTCCCGAGTTGGGGAATCTGCCTTATCATTTAAAAAAACGAGGCTCTAAACAATCAAATTTGATCCTACCTCAAAAAATTCTCTGTTTTAATGCTCAAATATACTCATCATCTCGATGTTAAGATACATGGACATAAGAAAAAATTGAATTTCAAGTTTTGGAAATAGTGTATTTTGTAATGCATTTTTGAATCGTCAATTTTCAAGTTTCCATAGATCTGTTGATCATAGATCTGTTGATCATAGATCTGTTGATCGACACTATTTTTCAAGCTTTAAACTTTATAAATAAAGATAAAAATATAATTTAATACTATCACAAAGATTCAGGTATTGAAACCACATTTCTGGACACTATTTAAAGGTAGGTTATGTAATTGTTTAGAGCCTAGGCTCTATACAAACCGTACCAAAATAAAATGATACGAGTTTATATAGAGCCGAGGCTCTAGCGTACCTCAAAATTTTCACTAGAAGAGGTTATTTTGATACCTAAGTATCTTCAAATTAATCATCTCAAAATCAAGATGCATGGAGATGGGAAAAAAATGAATTCCAAATTTTAGAAATAGTGCATCTTGTAATGCATTTTTGGACCATCAATTTTCAATATTTTCCAGTTTTCATAGATTTGTCGATCTACACTATTTTTAGAGCTTTAAACTTTAAAAATAAATATGAAAATATATTTTAAGTATATCACAAAGATTTCCACTATTGAAACCGTATTTATTGACATTATTTGAAGGCTCGCTTTACTTTGATTGCTTAGAGCCTCAACTCTATACAAACTATACCTTTAAGAAAAAAAAAAGGATTTTAATTCTTAAAATAGTATATCTTGTGACAAGTTATATGAACCGTCGTCCATTTTCTAGATTGTCAAGGTTTTACAAATATACTATTTTTCAAATTTAAAGTTCCTAGCTGAAAATTGATTTGTTTCCGACATCAAACCTGCATCTCCAAAACAAATTTCAGAATTGCACGTATATAGTATAAGGAAGACTCCTTATGTAAACATGATCTTTTAATGCTTTGGTGAGGTTTATATAAGGTTCTCTCCATGTATTAATTTTTTTTGGAAATGTAGTTCAAATATTGGAACTATTACGATGACTTGAAAATCTATGTTGAACTCTAATTATAAAATTTAAATTTCTAAATGTGGTGCAGTTTAAGCATATCTATGAAAACTTTAAAATCTTTAAATTATACGGTACAAGTAACTTGTTCGAAGACAATATTTTTAGGACTAGAAAGAATTTTTTTCGTTATACCATATATGTCGAGATCAAAATGATCAATTTGAAAGTTTTTTTTAGTTCATAGCACTCTTTCCTATTGGGTTTTTAGGGGTGCACCTTACTTCTATAGCACATGTGGTTTCAACCTTATATAAACTTTTTCCTTATTGTTTTAAACTATAAAATTATTTTTTATAATGTATTTAGTAGTGACCATCACAAAGTTAATGGAGATAAACTTATAAGATATATGGAAAAGTATCCCATGCACATCGTGTGGACGGGTTGGAATGGTGCGCAACCACGTTGAGATGTCATAATGCCATATCTAATGGCTTAAAATTACTTTCATTTCTTATATTTTATTTTTATTTAGATAATATATTTATTTAAAATTTTGGGATCTAGGGTTATTTTTCTAAATATAACTAAATAAAATTAATTAAAAATATTTTAAATAATAAAAATAACTAAAATACCTTTAAATTTATTTTGACCAATGTTTTTCATTCAAACTATTTTTCATTATTTAATTCAATTACGTATATTTAAATTTTTTGGATCTAGAGTTATTTTTCTAAATATAACTAAATAAAAACAATTTAAAAACTTAAATAATAAAAATAACCAAAATACCTTTAAATTTATTTTGATCAATATCTTTCATTACTTTAATTCAATTCTAATTATAAAAATGAAGTTAGATCCTTATTTGTAGGTTAATATGATTTCTAAGTAAAAAATAAAAATTAAAAAACAAAATCCACTTTAGCCCTTGGATGAGCCTAATTCAATCTGAACCATTAAAAGGTTCTAGTCCAGGACCCAATACCGACCACTTATATATAAGATTATTTTTGAAAAGTTGTTTTTACTTGTACAAAGTAGTTTGCTGAGACTTGCATATTTTTAGCAAACAAATTAGCTAAATACAATTAGAAATCACTCAAAAAGTTAAATAATAAAACCATATTATACATAATACAAGATACATACTAAAAATTAACCACGTAAAATTGTCCAGAATGTATTAATTTTAAATAATATAATATTCCAAATAAAAGTAATTGTCATCGAAATAGGCCCAAAAAGTATAACCTCGGTGACTCTTCGATGAATAGGACTTTGAATATGAAAAAGGGTTTGTCTACTATAAGACGATTTACATGTTCAAGGAGGTTACACTCACTGCTAGCCTTCTGTTACGGAATCTCACACAGTCCAGGTGCATCATAAAGTTTGAAATATTTATTCGTACTTTGAGTATGTTCAGTGGTATATGTCAACTAACCTAATTTGACATCTTATGCCCAAAGATGGTTGTCATGTCCTTTTAGTTATGTATTATCTTTTTTTTTTTTATGTAAAACATTTATATAAGGGTGAGGCCTAAGCAATCCAATTAAGGAGTACCTCAAAAATTCATTCGAAGAGGTTGTTTTGATGCCCAAAAATCTTCAAATCAATCACCTTGACCTCAAGATGTATGAACATGAGAAAAAATAGATCTTAAGTCTTAAAAATAGTGCATCTTGTAATGCATATTTTGGACCGTCAATTTTCAATAGTATCAAGTATTTATATATATGCTCGATGTATACTATTTTCGAGTGGTAGAGGAAGAGATATTAGAGAGAGACTTCTAGCTTGCTTTCATTGTTCACTTACCTATAAAACCTCACTATCATTTCTAGTTAAAACAAATTGTCTTGTTCAATATTTAGTAACCTCACTATCATTTCTAGTTAAAGAAATTTTGTCTTGTTCAATATTTAGGGAATTCCTTCGCAAAAATATGCATTTGCATCAAAATGAAACCACTTTCTTATCAGGAAACCCTTCAAGCTCAGGAATCGGGCTTGAGATTGACTAGTTAGCAGTTGAAATTAACAATGCTGCATTTCAAGTTCCATTTCTACCACTAAATTACCCAAAAAGAAAAAAACGAGCATAAGTCGTGAAACAATGTTTAAAGAGCTGATCAGCGCACTCTCAGAAATAGAAAGGAACCTAATTATAGAGAGATTCATTCATATTTAGGGAGGGAAATGGTATCAGGGAGAAGCGTCACTAGCAACATGTTTCCCTTAGCATGGAGGATCGAGGATCAAATCAAAAGACTGTGTTCATTGTGAATTAGACCTCCTATATTTTTCCTTAGCATGAAGGATTAAGGATCAAATCAAAGGAGTCTGTCCATAGTGAATTAGTTCTCATTTCAACCTCCTCTATGCATCTGCTCATATTTGGGAAAGCCAATAATATAAGTTTTGACATTGCTCAAGACAAAATTGACAGAAAGGCAAGGTCTCATACGTCCGGGACATGCTTCTTCTTAAGCCAAATTGACAGAAAGGCAAGGTCTCATACGCCCGGGACATGCTTCTTCTTAAGCCAAATATTCCTCAGGGCGGCATAAAAACAAAACAAAACTAGGAGAACTTCTCATCCTAGTAGTCTCAGCTTCAGCATTAAGCTACTCTTAAATTTAAGCACTTCTTTCCCCAAAGAAACTAGGGTAAAGATCATGATTCAACACTAAGAGATAAGGAATTGTCTACAAATAGAATATTTATCTTTTGTACAAGAAGGTCACAATCATTCTTGTCCTTTATATTTCAAAGTCGATGGTTGTACGAGTGTCATTGATTACCCACAAAGTTCCAAAAATTATCGGACTTCATAACTCACTCCAAGCCATCCAATTTGACATCTAATGAGTAAAAATGGTTATGACTTCCGTATACCAAAGTTAAATGGTCTCTTTGTAGACAAAATCCCAAAAGATAAATACAAAACCCCACAAATAAATACAAGTCAGGTAAGTTCGGTGAACCTTGTTCAATAACCCCTCTTCCAATCATGGTTTCAGATTGACATGATTAGAAAGGAAAATGAGGTCCAATTATTCTGACTGGTGGACTTTTGTATAGGAAAACAGAATAAAGACAATTAAGTAGTGATCTCTCTCTCTCTCTCTCATCAAAAAATTGGACTAGAGAAATGAGGTCCAATAATCCTGAGACTAATGGATCTTTGTAAAAAGAAAAAAGAAATAAAGACAATGAGTGCCCCACACCACCACTGTGTGTGTGCTGTGAATAATCTCCATTATTATATGGGAAATATATTCTACTCAGTACAAGTACAGCCATGGGTACTCGGTACCAATATCCAATGTCCATTTTTATCCATGCATGGTGGGAGATGAGTTGTCTTCTTTTGCCGCTATCCCAGTTTTTAAGCAAGAATGGTTACTCAATCACACTAAGTATGGACATTCAATGTTGGTATCAGTATCCAACTATGCTCTTATCATAACGTTGATATACAATTTAGTTTGTATCAAGACCAACCATATTAAGATGATCAACCATCAAGAACAGAATTCATGAGCGTACATGTCAATTGTCTGATTTTTATGGAGATATTTAACATTAAAAGGCTAATAGTGTTAAGCATAATGAACCACACTTTGACTTCAGGTGAGTGGTGCCAATGAATTAGAGTAATAAAAAATAACATAGTACAACCCTCCATTTTCATATTTTTATTTTATTTTTGCGTAAACAGCTTCCGATTTCGTCTACGCATGCTATGTAATAACAATAACTACAATTAATACAACCATGAAAGATTTCATACAACTATACTCTCTTTCTCTTAATTAAAGTAGGCACACCGTAACAAACTGGTGAGGCCCCATTCAAAAATGAAAGCCTACAAGTATCCCTTGCTTGGCTTATAAAAGAGGCAATTCGGAAATCATTATCTCTACACTTAAATGGAGGATCTCCATCCACATCCTTACCCAATTGGGCTTTTCTCTTAGACTTGGATGATTTAGCTATACCCCTACCAATTATTTTCATAGATTTGAATTCCTCAACCAGTGAATCAGACTTCGTAGATTCTACAGGGAGACTTGGCTCCACTTTCAACCAACTGTCAAGTAGACTTTGGCTAAATCTGTCAATGTCTTTGTCTGTTACCTCCCATAGGTTAGCAATCACAACAGGACAACCACCAATGAGATAGTACAATGGGGCACCTTTAGGAGCATAGCAGCCCTTGTAATAGAGGCACCCACTACTGCACCCCATCAACAGGGTAGCAGCACAATGATCCAGACTCTGAATATTATGTCCAGGAATATATTGTTCACCTGCAGCAAAATCATTTATGCTTAGCATAGATGGGTTCGGGAATCTTTCATCTTCCTTCGGTTTTCTAAGTAGCAAGTGTTAGGCTAGTAGTTCAAGAAGGAAAAACATCTTACCACTGCCATGACCAAAGTAAAGGAAGAGATCATGGTTTTTCAATGCAGAGACCAATTCATCGACTGTTGGTATGATCCCAGCTTTCCCCTTTGGAAGAAAATCAAACAGGTATTAGAGCACCTCTAGAGAGCATGTTTCTGTGCTTGGAAACAAGGATTTGAGCACCAATAGCATGTATGTCTTTCCGTGAACTCTTAACCAATGATCTTGGATGGAAATTTCTAAAATTATTGAAAGTTTAAATTTGCAATGCCAAATTACTGGAACAACAAAAATAAAAAAAGTTCCCCAAAATAGTTTCAACAATTGGTTTGTTTAAACATTTAGCAACATACCTCCCACTTCTGATTTCGAAACCAATCCTCGAATGTAGACTGTGTATGATGAAGGTCACCGCTTGGATTCAACAAATAGTATGCATCTAAAGGATCTACAGAAGGTAATGAACCAACATCAGCACCATCACAGCCACCAGCACAATCCAGATTATCTTGATCCCATCTAACTTGTGGTCGATCATGACCACTGCTCAGAAGAGATAATGCAGATATACTTCCAAGTGATGGCATGCGATACACCTCTTGTTTCCTCAGAATAGGTATACTTTCCCAAGGAAGCATCTGAAGAAAAAAAAAATTGAAGTCAGTTAACGATGCAAGTTAGTTAGCTCAAATAACAAATGAAAATAGAAAATTGAAGGATCAGTTTACCACTAGGTCATCATCAAGTACAAGGGCAATGGGCTCTCTATTGATGGATCCAGACGTCGAGGTTTCCCACTGGATTTCAAGATCTCTAGCGGCTTTAAGTATCAGTTGGCATTCTCCATTAGCACTTGCTCTATTCCTTTGCTTCATAGAACACCCTGAACCAAACCAACCTTTAGATGACAGCAAGTGAGAAACACAAGCTTCCAACCCAGGTATGGACTTCACACTGGAGATGAGGGCTCTCAGTAAACTTGCGTCTAGCTCTAGCTTGTACATGCGCTTTAAATCAGCGGCCAACTTCTTTTGTATTGCATTCAAGCATGTGTCATCAAAGAGCTCACCTAGTAGCAAGAAACTCCATGGACCAAACCATGAATCCTCAACACTCCTGCAGATCCAATTAAATGAAGCAAGGGAAATAATGTACTCATAACTTTTCACTGTTTACACCACAAGAAAACGGGATAAAAATTTAGACTAGCATTACTGGCAGATGGATCATAATTGAGGCCATTGAATGCTCTGAACTGGATTTAGACAAGCAATAGAAAATCAACATGACAAATTGGGAGCCAAGGCGGGGCAGGGGAAGGTAAGCCAGCTCGGTTCATTTTTATGGACAAACTTCCAAGGGTCAAATCCACCTTGTTCTTCTTTTTGTCACCACTATGTTAGAGCCAAAATAGCATGCACCAAAAATAGCACATAGTTATTATGATGATAAATTTACCTATGGTGATTCGCATCCAGCAAAACTATTAGCACAATAGTACATACAAGTATATATTTACGAGCTTCAAGAGCATAATAATAATTAGTAATGAATTACAGCCACTAATAGCAAGAACTTTACTGAACTCATTTACATGATTAATTCAAAATCATGAACAACTCACCTCAGGAGAGTCCCCAGACGATCATTGAGTTTAGTTCTCCAATTCCACCAAATGGACCTGTTCTCATTTGTATCAACAGAAAACAAAGTTGAAGAGGATAAGAAGTTCTCCTCGAGAATAACCCGAAACTGTGCAGCCACATCATCCAACACATTGCGGTTCCATGGGCAACTCCACTCTTTACTGGATCCATTGTTATTCGAGATGGTTCCAACTGAAGTGGTCCAATTATCTTGCTGGACATCTATCAAGTAATGGAAATAAAAATGTCGCAGGAGTAAGTTCAACCATTAATTAGAATCTCAGCTAATTACTCAAGCAATATGAATAACTTAATAAGAGAATGTACACCACCTTCAAGAACCGAATCCACAGGAAGAAGCAATACAACAGGCTGTCTCATCAAATTGAGGCGTGAAAGAAGCATCCATGCTTGGGAAGAAACATCTGATAGTTCTCCGAGAAAGCTAGCATAGTCGCTTCCAATAAAACTTATACATATACATGTGAAGCTAGGGAGATCTTCAAAAAATTTAACTATGAATCCTTCCAAAAGATCAAGTTTTTCTGGCGCAAATCTGCATATAGAAATAAATAAAAGCGATGAAAAATATTTTAGGCAAGGAAGGTGATAGAGAATATGTAACCATGTATCTGTATACAAGATCCACAACCTGAGGAAGTCACATGCTTTCCTAATCCTTTCAGTTGAACTTGAAATATGCAAACCCTAAAGGATAACAAAATTGATGTTAGAAAGTAGAAGTACTCCCAGGACAGGGCTATTGTACTCCAATCAGTATATAGTTGCTAATATGAGAAGATTTCATCTTGAATTGAATAGATAAAATAAGAACCAATAGTTCCTCGCTTGCTACTCAGAATAATATGGTGATTCATATTGAATAGCTAAAACAGACCAAGAGGCATAAACTAATTCTAAAGAGCAAGAGAATGTGGCTGCACGGGTACACATGGCCTCCCTATATACGTAGTGAATCATATCGGGGTAGATCCGTCATCAACAAACATGCAAACAGCTGACAGGACTCCAGACTACATCTATCACCAAATGTCCACCGGTAATTTCAAGACCTCCAGGTTAAAGAGAAAAAGTGGGAAGGCCTCCAAACATCAGGGTGCATGAGAAACACCTTCAAATGTAGTAACTGATGAGTGTGCATGTTTATCCACATAACATCCAATAGATAGTACATTTCTCAACATAAACCTAAGAATATAAAGTGATCGCATGAAACATCATTACTTCAATGTCTGAATCGCCTCCTTTTGTAACAGCCAAGAAGGGAAGGTTGCCTGATTAGCCTTATTGAAATAAGTACAAATTATGAATGGGCCAGGAGATTTCATGTATCAAGACAAAAACTTTTGAATACAAGTACACTCTATCTTCATGTATGATGAAAACCACTGCATGTGTACAGAATTTCTGACTTTTTCCCATTTAAGGATAGCCTTGTAATTTACTAGAAAACACGCACTCTTTGCCAGTTAAGTTGTAATTATTATTACCATAGACACATTCCATGATACTGACTAATATTCTCATGTATACTTACTTGAGCATACCGAAAAACCAGAAAACATTTTCTGGCACATAAAGCAACTTGCTTCTACTGAGCTCAACAAAGAAAAAAAAAAAAGATACTTGCTTCCAATGGAATCAGATATTGAGATTTTTCAGGTATTAGAGCAACTGAGCAAGGTGATAAAAATGCGGTGAATCTATCTCACCACCATATCCTCATGAACAAGAGGAAACAACCAATATTTACCCACAGAAAATGGCACATCCATCAAAAACATCATCTAAGTTCAAATACTCTAAAAATCTGTTTTAATTTTCCTAAAGGTGAAGGCCTCAGTGTTTTAAAATGCAGCCTCATCGCCGCATGTGCGGCCGTATCAGGCACTATGCGCTGCCCAGAGCATCGCACATGGCCACATATGCTGTTTGGTGAGATGCGCCTGCATATTCGCCCCATCAGAGCCACATCCCGCATCAAACGCATCAAGCCACATAATCTGCCCGCTCTGTTTTTAGAAACTGAACCCCTCAAGGAGGGGTAATAAGGTCATTTTGACCTTCAAAAATGGGGGGAAGGGGTTTGGGGGGGTATTAAACCCCCAATCATCATTTTTCAGGCACATCCATAGCTTTTATTGGATCAATCGAATCAAAAAAAAAATTTGGGCGGACATGTTTTTTGTTGAAGTTCTTCAATTTGTGCATTTGTTCATGCTTGGTTGTTAATTTATATCTTTTGGGTTGGTTATTTGTATCTTTTTAGTGTATCTCTGATTAGTATTTGAAAATTTGAAATTTAGAATCTCTCTCGAGACTTGAGAAATGATGATGATTGTATTGACTTTTCTTGAGCTTGACTTTTAAACTCTTTAATCTTCATGGACTTTTAGTTTGTAGTATTTTGTAACTTTAAAGTTTGTGGTTGCATATTTGTACTTATGGTAGTTGATTGTTGAATGTTTTATGAAACTAGTTTCAAGTTTCTAGTTTCTATTAGGGAACAGCTGATACTTTTAGAGTTAATGAATAAACTAAATACCTACTATCACATATATCACCTCCATATTTTTTTCTATGCATTCATCTATTTTTTAGAATTTTTAGAATTTTTTTGTATTTATTCCAGACCGCATCGAGCCGCATCGGGCCCCCCAACGCTTTTGGCCGCATCCCGCATTTTAAAACACTGGAAGGCCTGACTCTAACTTACATTAGCTTGCATGCATAAATGTATCAGTAGAGGCTCAACTCTGATACAATTAATCATGATACCATCAAGAAGCATTGCAAGAAATTTCCCATTCCCATATTACCCATTACTGAAATTTGCGACACATGATTTTTCATATATTCAATAGACTTTTCTAAATTGGGAACCCACATGTGTATCTTGTGTGTGCCTTAATTTACATACCTACTTGTATACTTGGTGTGTGCCACGATCGCAAAAACTAGACATTTCGGTTTTGGTAATCAAGTGGAACACCAATTATGACGACAGAGCCAAATAAGTATCAGAGACTGACTGCCAATACACCCAACTATTGTCCTGAGCTAGGAAGCATCACTCCACTTTTCATTCCAAATTCAAGAATACAACCGATATGATTGATTGGTCAACTTGTTAAATGCTGGAATAGGTTAAGTACATATTACAACTATTTAATCAGGCACTAACCTCCATTAATGCCTAATGCTTGCAAGCCATCCAATGTTCGTAAAATCGAACCGAAACAGTTGACCGGACGTGGGGCCAAGAGCGGGTAGAACCAGAGCTGAACTAACCGATCCGGTAGAAATTTTTAAAAAAAAATAAGCCAAAAAAAAAAAAAAAACATAGATTTAGTTATATTATTTTATTACCTACATTAATCTTAAGAAAAAAAAATTTGTAGATGACCAAGGTGGATCAATAACCACTTTTCTCGAGTTTGCTATCAAATCCAAAACTTAAAATTTGAGAGGGTTTCAGGTCTTTTTGCTTGAAAATATAATGATCAGCAAAGAAAGCAATAGGAGAATGAATATTTATTCTACATCAATGCAAAATAAAGTAGCATCCTTCAAGGCCATAATCAAGATAAGACGCAGCTATTGTTGTGCATTTCCATATAAGAACAATAGAAAAATAATTTTATCAAAAAATAATTTTATTAAGCAAAATAGAAAAACACTTCCCATATTCAACAGAAAATATTATTCTATTAAAAAACTATAATTTTATCAAAAAAATAATTTTATTAAGCAAAATGAAAAAGCACTTCCCATATCATAAAACGTAATTTTATTAAAAAACCATAATTTTATCAAAAAAAAATTGTGTTAAGCAAAATAGAAAAACAATTCCCATATTCATCAAAAAACATAATTTTTTATTAAAAAACATAATTTTATTAAAAATATCATTTTATTAAGCAATATAGAAAAAAAAACTTCCCATATTGATCAAAAAACATAATTTTATTAAGAAAAATAAACTTTTTTTTTTTTAGAAAAATCAATTTCTCAAAAACCCCTAAAATCGAGCGACATTTCAAGAACACGATCCTCAATGTTTTGATAATCAAACAAATCAACACACATGCATTGTAAAGGCCTCAATCGTCTTTCAAATGCACCAAATCTCATAAAACATTATTCGGTATTTTGGATTTGATTGATAAAAATGGCGGACATTTCAGATCTATGCAATTTTCATGACCTCATGCAAAACAAATTCATATAAAAAATTTACTCAATCATAAATAAACAGACAAATTTTATTTGAGATATGAAGCCTCAATGATCGAAATCCACAACTCAATTTGATAAAAAACGACCAATAAATGGATAAAAAATCTGCATTTTTGGATTGAACACAAGTTCTCGAGCAGCAGCTTTTCGGGCAAAAATCAACCCTTGATCTTTGGTTTTCTGAACAACTTAAAACTTGAATCTAGTAAATACTTCGAATAGCAATCAAACCCCACAAATTTCTTCAAGAACCATTCGGTATTGAGGAGATTATTGAAAGAATGGCGAAAATTTTCAAAAACCTAAAAAATCTGCCATTTCAATCCAAGAAACTGTTTTGTTTTTCAATGTTTAAATCCAAATTACTTGTTTTATATTCATTATATAGTGATTTACAACATTAGGGAAAAAAAAAACCAAAAAATGGCCGCAAAACAAATCAAAAAAGGTGAAAATTTGGATTCACAGTTTTCCTGCTACATATAACAGCCCCTATTGCAAAATAACGCCGTTATTTATACATTACCGTTATTTACTAAAAACCGTTGTTATATCGGCAAACCGGTCCGGTTAGCTGAAAACCGGCCGGTTCGACCCCTAAATGGCTGGTTTTGGGCCGGAAATTTTTTGGGGTTATCACCTAGGCTACTAGACACACGAAACCGGCCCTAACCAGACTTAGAACCCTAGCGGTCTGGCCGATTCCGGTTCTAACCGGCCGGTTTTTCCAACACTCAAGCCATCCAACCCTAACCTTCCACAATCCAACCCTAAACCCAACAAACCCTTACACTTGCTGTCCACAAAAGTGATCATATATCACAGTTTCACTTAAATCTTACCTCAAACCCACTCAAGACCTGGCCCACTGAGCCTTTTGCCATACAGGGAAATCCCACTCCTTTGGTTCTACATCAAAAAAAGTTGACAACTTAAACCAGTTCCCAACATTATGCAACTAAGACATAATTTATCAACCCTATCAGGAGATCTAGGTTTCTTTCTTTTGCTGCATTTTTCTTTTTGCTAAATTAGCATGGGGTTTGAGGGAGCATGCCAACTGGGAAATAATTACAAGGTGTAAATACAATGCAGAAAGCAAAAATATCTCAAGAGCCTGCTAGTACAAAGGTCCTCCCAAAGTATCCTGGAAGTATTACACACTTAAAGTACACTCATAAACACCCAGTGTGTTGGAGACAACTCCCATCTCTTTTAGATAATATTTTTCAGTTTCGTTCTTTAGGGGTAGTATGAAAAGTATCTAAAAACAAGTTCAAGTTTTCCAGCATGTTTCCTCGTAACTGCTTGAATGCAATGTTTTCATTTTCTTTCAGCCTCTAAGTCTTTCTTCCAAGATAATGGTAGGGTGAGAAACCTTTCAAAGTTTAGCAAGATACTTGTTTGCATATTTCTTTTTTAACCAATTTGCAATGAGACATTGAATA